GCTGGGGCGTATCTCTCAATTGATTGATGTCTTTTCCTGTCATTTCTATCCCGACGTGCACTGCGGCTGTTAGAGCGGCTACGGTCACGATCACGGTCACGATCATGGTCATGGAAGGGGCTGCGGGAGCGAGATCGGGACCTGCTTCTGCTTGGACTTCTGCGTCTGCGGTAACTAGGTCGTTCTCTGGTTCGGCTGTGACTGCGACTGCGGCTTCGGCTTCGGCTTAGACGACGGCGAGCATCGTGGGATTTGGGATGGTCCTTGGTAATATCAGCTCGTGAATCTGCTCTATAATCTTTCGCACCGGGTGATGGTGATCTTCTCCCTCGGCCTCCCCTTGCACGCTTGTCACCATTCACTCGGGACGGCGATCGTGAGCGCGACCTGTGGCGCGACGAGGACGGGGAGCGAGATATTGACGGGGAGTCGCGGCGGTGACGGCTAATTCTTGGTGAAATAGAGCGGGAGGGGCTCCTAGAGGAAGGGGTGGGCGATTTTCTCCGGCGTCTTCTGGGAGAACGTGAGCGATCTGATCTACTGACAGAACTAGACCTTGCACGAATATCATCATGGTCGGGGCTACGCCATCTTCTCCTTTTGCGGCCCCTCGTGTCTGGTGAACGAGAGTAACTTGGCGATCGTCGACGCCTGGTGGGTCCGTGACGGCCACGGTCCCTTCGATGGGGAGACGGAGAGAGCGATGAGCGTGAGGTCGATCGCGATACAGATCGGGATATTGACCTAGACGCACGACGGCCACGATCTTCTGTCCAGCGTGAACTTCTACCCCCAGAAGGAGCCCAGGTATCTGCCTTGCGCCTACCAAAGCCGTCTCGGTATCTCTCCAAACTTCTCCGCCGTGGTGGTGAGCGAGCATCTCTATCAGCCCACCGATTCCTGCCTCTGCCGCGACCGCGTTCGGCACGTTCGCGCTCCCGCAAAGCTTCTAGCTCACGTTCGCGCGCCCTCTCTTCTTCCCTACGCCGTCTAGCTTCTTCAGCTAGTCTTTCAGATTCGAGCTGTGCAAAAGTTAGCATAGAGAACCTATTCCAGAATTGTTGTTTTTGGAGAAACCACTTTTTCTTGTCTCAGTTCCAGTTTCTTAGCCTCCAGTAACTCCTTCGGTACGCCTTGTGGGTTGGTTTGGGCGCTGAGGCATAAATTCCAGAGTTCCTTACAAAACTTGGGCGTATCCTTGTCTAAAAAGCCAGTGAGTTGAATCTGTAGGAGTTTGATATCCGGCTACCAACGAACATGGGTGCACTGTTAGCATCTATACTGAACGCTCACCCGTGGTATCAACAGAAACAGGGCGCAGACTTACAAACCGAGCCCCCTCGAGCAAATTGAAACAGAGTTCGATAACGACATCATCCTCATTTCCTAGGATTCCGGAAATTTTGCCAGCAATCCATCTATGATAAGAAAGGGTTGAAATAAATGTCAGTAATCACAACATCGCGATCGCGCGCAACATGTAAGTTTCACCGAGCCAGCTCACTTCTTCATCACCTCTATATTAACCTTTTGCATGTCCACCTTTTTGGCAAACTCTGGCGGGAATTTGGTCTGCCGTATTAGCTTTGCCTCCGCAGTGGTCGCCATGGTGGGCAATGTCTCTGCCCGAATAAATGTCGGGGTAAGCTTGTTGGCTAAGGCTTGCTGGGTGGAGATAATGTCCGAAGCTTCAATTTGTTCTCTCTAAAGACGTCTTTGGTATGTCCGGCGCGCCGCAGTGGCTGGAACCGGAATAACTTAATGCCACAGTAAATTGCTACAGTTATCTCACGTGATTAATTATCAACAACCTTGGAACCTTTGGAAACAACCTGATCAAATTGATTTATTATTACTACGTAAGCAACGGTCATTTTTCTTTTCTTACAGAATAAAACCTCTAAGTTATAGCTAATAATTGAGATCAGATCATTTTAGGCCTCACTTCACCAGTGGCCCCAACTTAGAGGTTGATAGTTTTAATGCCCCCGCAAACCTAGATGGGAGATATCTCAGTCTTCTCCTAGTTCGTCCAGGCTGGTGTGTTTTATCAGGACAGATTCGACAAATCACAGCATCTCAACTAGCAGCAGGCAGGGTGGATTTGGAAGTTCACTAGCTCAGAATCATTTGGCCAACCTACCAAGCTTCATGGATCTAATGCACATTTTGACGTTTTGACTCCAATTATTCGTGATGAAGCAGATGCTTGGACATCGGGAACTCTTCACGGTGGTGCCTCGACACCCCCATATGACTGGGGTTGGGTTAGAGGCTTGACCGAATAACACACTGACCAGTTAGGTGCTTAGGTTCGGTAACTTCTCTGCTGTTATTTCGGCTTCTACTCATATTCTAGCGTGTACGAGAGCCTCAAACCCAACCGTGAAAAATATTCGGGGTTAGTTAAAGTCAGCTATCAGGAGGTACGAGGAGCCTGCAAGACCCTTTTTAAATAAGAACTTGGATACGTCTGTAGGCATGCTTGAGTGTCGGAATATTTGAGCTCTGGTATTGGTATCTCTGATTTGAGTTCGGATTTCTAGCGTATGAAAGCCATTTGTTCCACACCTATCCAACACCGCAATTGTGTGTCACGAAGCTGAGCTGATGTATATATCCACCCATGACACAATCAATTCAGCTTATATTGCCCGATGATTATTGTTGTTCCTCTGTGCCCGCCAATTCCCTCTTACATCAATTTAAAATGTATAGTAATATCAACACCATTCACCTTATTCGGAATCCCGCACAAGTCCAGCCAACCCTAGTCCACTTTCATCCCGCTTGCCCTGTCACCAACTTGACTATTTATTCGAAGTGGGATTTGATTTTTGAATCAAGAATCTCGTCAAGCACCTGAAACGGTTGGGTCCACCATTTGCCAAACAGAACCGTTTCTCGTCCAGCTCAATTACCCCAACTCCCGCAACACGCGATCAACGTCTTGTCTGGCCTTCTGAAGCTCCTTATGCAAGCCTCCGCTGTGTGTATTCAGCTGCTTTAGCGTGCCATCATTATGAAGCTCGACGAGGTCTTTTGCTCGGCGCAGGTCTTCTGAGAGAGCGGTTGGGTGTGAATCACTTGTTTTCGGGGAAGGGACCTGTCCAGCGTGCGGTTGATTCTGTTCCTGCTGATGCTGCTCTTGGTTCGCGATAGTAGCGTAGACATTCACGAGGGCGAGTGCTTCGGCATGGCCCTGTTAATAAGATGAATAGAGGGAAGCGTCAGTAGGGATGGAAGTGTGAGTCAAAAGGGATCAGACTAGTGGTGGACCGGGTTAAAATTACGCAGACTCTCAGAGATGTCAGATCCGACAAGACCTCGGCGACCTTCATAAGGGATTATAGGTAACTATTTGTATTCCCCGCCCTCCTTTAATTTGTATCGACATCCGCCAGTATTTGTCTGGATGATGGATGTTCCACATCCCCAGCTGCGTGGTACGTACCACCGGCAGCTTCCACACCTACCAAGTCACATGACCTACACCCCATCGGCCTGCCGAAGTCACCCCCCACGGCTGCCGGCCGAGACTGCGGGAGACCGAGCTGGTTTCGGCAGAATCACAGCCACAGATCGCGGAATAAAAGAGACACCATGACATCTCCTCCACAGCCTTTGTTGCCATTGTCACCCATTCCCCTCTCTATTTCTCGCAGAGGCAAAAAATTCAAAATAAATAATCCAATTACTATTTTGCAGGTCATCGCGCAAACCCTTGGAAAACAATGGCATCCATTCGAGCCAATTGCCGGAAGGTGATGTGCATCGGCCGAAACTATGCGTGTGTACACCCCAACATAACTAGAGAGGTTGTCAGCTGCAATTGCAACTACAATCGCAATCGTAACTTACCATTCAGCGCACCGTGTCGTATACCTGCTGCTAACGCGAAAGCATATAATCCAGAGACCACATAACTGAGCTCAACAACGTCCGCCCAAAGCAACCATTCTTCTTCCTCAAGCCACCCTCGTCCATCCTCCTCCCAAACTCCGGCCCCGTTTTGCGTCCCAAGGGCGTGAGCCTTCATTATGAAGTCGAGCTCGCATTGGTTATAGGCAAAACACTCCGTGACCATGACCCGGCAGACGAGCAGGGCGCTTTAGACGCCATATCAGGTGTGTCCAAGAACAACGTCAATTTGAGACGCAAGACATGCATCCTCTCTATCGACGGAGTACACCTCCACAGACCACCGCCGGCCTAGCCCACCGCGCAACACAGAGTTACTAACATACCCCGATTTAAAACAACAAAAACAGCCTACGCCCTCGCCATCGACCTCACAGCCCGCAACATCCAAGACGCCTCCAAAAAGGCCGGTCTCCCTTGGTCCATCGCAAAGGGCTTCGACACCTTCCTCCCCGTCTCCGCCCTAATCCCCAAATCCCGCATCCCAGACCCGCACAACGCTACCCTCCACCTCTCCGTCGACGGCGAGCTGCGCCAGCGTGATAACACGAACTTGATGCTCTATCGCATCCCCCGCCAGCTGGCGGATATCTCGCGCGTCATGACCCTGGAGCCGGGTGATTTGGTGCTGACGGGCACACCCAAGGGGGTGGGCGAGGTGAGGGATGGGCAGGTTATGACGGCGGGGATTGAGGTAGGGGGGAAGGAGGTTGGGGAGGGGAGGATTGAGGTTGTGGTTAAGGATAGGGTGGATGGGAGGTTTGAGTTTGGAGGGTTTTGATTTTTAGGGGGGTTGATGGTATGTGTTCGGAAGTAAGCTTCTTTTTTCCGACAATTTTTTTCATCGATGTTTAGATTTTATGTCTTCTTTGTATTGGGGTTTTGTGTTTTATAGAAATGGCTATCATTGCGAGATAGATACTGGTACGTACTGTACATACACCCTCATACACCCTCATGAGAACAGTTTGCTATTACCCACCCCTTTCCACCCCGTCACTCATCTCTCCAATTTCGCCCTATCACTCCTCTGCATGCCAGCTCTTAAAGACGTATATTTATAAATCATACCGAAAATATCAAGTCAACCCATTCTGCACAACAAACCACCCTTCTCCCTCCTCGTCAACCGGCCAAATAACAGGAATAGCCCTCCTCTTCCTCATTTTCATATTTTTGCTCTTCTTCTCCTCAACAGCCGCATTCCCACAAACCCCCACGTCCTTTTCACCCCCGGCCTTGTCAAGACATCTATCCCTATCCCTCTTCCTCCTTTTCCCTTTCCCCTCCCCTCTGCCTTCCCCTCTCAGATCGCCCACGAACCGCCTAACAACCTCCCACCTCTGACCCCACGTCTCCAACTCCTCCCCCAACGCCCGCTTAACCTCCTCTTCATCCACCCCTCGCCAAAACGCCAGCACAACCCGCTTCGCCTCAATCCGCGGGCTTCGCGATAGCACCGCCTCCCCACGTTCCAAATACGACTCGAGAGATTCACCAGGCCCCTGGCGTAGAATTGGGACTCCGTTATCTTGTTCTTCTGCTTCTGCATTTTCGTACTCCAATTCACCCGGGGGCTGAGTTACGAGGGAGCAAGCTGCTCGTGGAGGGGAGGTTGGGAACCTCGTGGCGGAGGCGGCGGTGGTGGCGGTGGTTTGACCTGGATGCAATGAGGGGGGGGCCGGTGACGTGGAGTCTGGGACGAGGATGGCGGAGTAGCCGTTGTGTGGCGGTGCTTGTGGTGGTGGCAGGGAGCTGCGGGTTAGCGTTGAGCTGGGGAGGTGAGTCATTGTGGGCGTGCCGGAGATTGTGGAAGGGACCTCATGTTTTGGGCGCTGTTGGCTAGGCAGGAGATGAGGGATGGGTGGTAGAGAGGAGGAGCGGAAGGGTTCGTTGTCGTCGCTGAGGTCTGGATTGGAATAGGGGACTGCGACGGGTATGGTGTCTGAGGATGCATCTGTTAGTTGAGATGGAATGGATTAATGGATGAAATATGAAAAGGGGACAGGTGGAAACAAGAAGTGAACTCACTCAATTCCTTTTCCCTCTCCCTCTCCCTCTCCCTCTCCCTCTCCCTCTCCCTTTCAATCCATTCCGCCCTCTCCCTCCTCATCTCCTCCACAAGCCCTTTCAGCCCCCTCACCCCCTCCAAAACATCCCTTAACCCCCTCTCAAGCTCCCCTCTCCCCTCCTCCCTCCCCTCCCTTTCCCTTCTCAACTCCTCCTCCTCCCTCTCCCGCCTCGCCACAGCTTCCCTCTGCCTCTCTTCAACAAGTCCCTTCCACCCCTTCAACGTCTCAATCTCCCCTTTAACAACCCCGATCTCTTCCTTAACCACACCAACAACACCCCCCACCTCCCCCACCCTCCTGTCAAGCTCTGTCTTTAACTCTCCCGCCCTTGCGACTCCATCAGCAGAAGAGGATGCCAGGGCCGCTTCGAGCGCGTCGAGGCGGGAGACGAGGCTGTTGTGTTCGCGTCGGAGCTGGTGTGCCCAGAGGAGGGAGGTGGGAGAGAAAAAGGGGGCCGATGTTGTGCCTGTGCTGGGAATAGGGTTTGGATTGGGGTCCATTGTCTGGGTATCTTGCGAATTTTTTTTTGTAGGATCATTGAAGAAGGGTGTTCGTGTACTACATGCATGTACTGTACACGTGTAGTATAGATGCTAGTCGGCGGCGTATATTTGGCTGTAACTTGTATAGCCGCGAAAGAAAACAAGAGAAGGGGAGTAATGATAACAATGAGAATGGGTATATGATAGATTTCAAGAAGAGGAGCGCTCATCGACGGGTGAACAGTCCCCCCGTCCTAATCAGAGGGGGAAGAGAGGGGCAGGGCAATAAATTGACTTGATCTCAATGGGATGTTGGTTGGCTCAACGTGGCTTTTGTTACTGCCTGTCCATCTTATCATGGGAAGCAAGCCTGAAGAGTCCTATGGACAGGTCCTCGATTTTTTTTCACCCTGGATGTTTCTTCACGAGGTATCCGGAGATATATATTTAAAGTATCCAGGACGCTGGGATACTTCTATGCGGCTGAAAACGATGGGCAAGAAGACGGATGATGTCAAGTTCTTTCCATCCCAGTTGCAGCTTCTATATCCCCCCTTATTTTTCCACTCGGAGAAAGAAGAAAAGAAGAAAATAAAATAAAATAAATCGACGCTTCTCACTGGTGCTCTTGGACAAGTCATAGGAGAGAAAAGAAACTCGCCTACTTTAATTGCATGTGTAAGTATAGTTATAGTTACCAATTTATTCTGCGGCATTGACTTGACTGTTCCTTCTGCCCCTTCTCTCCCCTTATCCCGTCATCATTTGTATCCTCTCGTCTGCACATTGTTTGTCCGGCCGGGATCTGACAACTGAAGAGGATTAAAAAAGGAAAAAAAAAAAGAGTGAAACATGGATTCTTCACATCATGGTAATGGCAGAGACCTACCACCACAACATGGACGCAGGATGAAAGGAAAACCGAAAAGTCAGCCTACCTCCTTGAAAAGGAAGAATGAACTAATATTTTGTGAGAAAATGCAAATTTTGATGTAGGAAAAAAACCTTAATACAGTACGGATTATGTAGCAGGGAGAACTTCGAAGTAAAAGATACGCGAAATAGAAGAAAATGGGAGACAGATAGCGAGGACGACGTACTAAGATGGTTTCAAACCAGTCGGTCACGCACGCACGCATAATCTTTTTAAGGAAAGGGAGTAGGAAATATAAAATAAATAGAAAACAGAGCATTAACTATAACATTGAAGGAAGAAAAGAACAAAAAGCGAAAGCAAATAATAATCTTTGAAAACCTCCCAGCTACGCGCACGAGGAAAATCCCTCTCCTCCCTCTCCTCCCCTCTTTTCTTCCTTTCCTTCTAAGCGTATTTATATAAGCCGTAAGAAAAAGAGAGAGGATGAGAAAAAACCATTCGCAAAAGGCAAGAGAAGTGAAAACCAAAAAGAAAACGAGCCGGCAAAATAGAAAAAGGAAAAACATTTCTCCTTTTTTGCCGTACGAGTTTTCCTTTTCCTTTCTGTCTCGTGTGCTTTGTGTTGCCTTTGCCTGCCCCATAATGCCAAAGCGCTCTAAGGAGAAGAAGGGATAATAAAAGAAAACATAAAATAAATATGCATTGCATCATCCATGCAGCCATGCCAGGTCATAGGAGGGGAAAATAGATAAATTGGAAAGCACAGCAACGGATAAAAAAAAAAAAAAAGAAAAAGAAAAAGAAAAACAGGACAACAAACGTAAAACGTCAACGTTAAACAAACAACCCAACGATAATACTGATACCACTTTTTATTTCGTTTTAGAAAGGAACGCTGACGGGAATGTGGAAGTGGTGATAAAGGACGGAGTTAGATGCAAAAGAAAAGAGAAAAGAAAAAGAAATTCTGCCCAATTGTTTATCCACTATAAACAAAACTGGGGGGTTCGTTGGAAAAAAAAACCATTAATTCTGAAAGGAATTTTTCTCTTTTTTTGTAAATTCTGAAGGGGAAGGAAATGTCATGGGGAGAGAGAAAAAATTAAAAGGCACACGAATCCCCTCCCGCTCCGCTGGGAGATTTGGGGACATCACAGCGGACACGGCGGGATTCGGGAGTTAATCATTTTCTTCGTTTAGATGAGGTCTGTAATTACATTAGTTAGCAAACGAATTCGATTTAAAGGGGGGTGGAAACTATTAGGAGAGGAATATTCAAAGAAAGGAGAAAGGAAACATACCAGCAACGTTCATGGGCATCTCTTCGATCTGGGTGCTGTAAAACTGCTCGATCTCTCTCATCATGCGGACATCATCAGCAGTGACGAAGTTGATGGCAACACCCTTCCGGCCGAAACGACCACCACGACCAATACGATGGATGTAGTTCTCGCGGTTGGCAGGGAGATCGTAGTTGATGACCAGCGAGACTTGCTGGACATCGATACCACGGGCGAGCAGGTCAGTGGCGATGAGGACACGGGAAGAGCCAGAGCGGAATTCCTTCATGATAATATCACGCTGCTGTTGCTCCATGTCACCGTGCATGGCGGAGACAGTGAAGTCACGGGCGGTGAGTTTGTCAGTGAGCCAGTCGACCTTTCTCCTGGTGTTGCAGAAGATGACGGCCTGGGTGATTGTGACAGTCTCGTAGAGATCGGACAGGGTGTCCAGCTTCCATTCCTCCTTTTCCACGGCAATGTAGAACTGCTTGATACCTTCAAGGGTGAGTTCTGCTTTCTTAACCAAGATGCGGACGGGGTCACGCATGAATTTGGTGGTGACTTCCAGCACATCCTGGGGCATGGTAGCGGAAAGCAAGACAACCTGGGTAGACTGGGGAAGGAGTTGGAAGATATCATAGATTTGCTCGGTGAAACCGTGCTGGAAAGAAAGGCGACGTTAGAATACGAGGACCGTCCCAAAAACTCAAAACCATCCGCGGGAATATTAGATGGTGTTGCACTATAAAGGAAAAACTTACAGAAAGCATCTCGTCAGCCTCGTCAAGAACGAACATCTTCAAGTGATCGGTCTTGAGGACACGGCGCTCGATCATGTCGTGGACACGGCCAGGGGTGCCAACAACGACCTGGGGCCCTTCCTGAAGAGCTTTCATATCCTCGCGCACGCTAATGCCACCGATACAAGCGTGGCACTCGATGCTCATGAAGTCACCGATGGCAACAACGACTTTCTGGATCTGCTGGGCAAGCTCACGGGTAGGAGCAAGAATCAGAGCCTGGCAAGCCTTGAGGTTGGTGTCGACTTTCTGCAGAGCAGAGATGGAGAAGGTGGCAGTTTTGCCAGTTCCGGATTGAGCCTGGGCAATAACATCGGAGCCTGTATATTTGTGTTATTAGCATCATCCATTTTATTTTCTTCTCTTTCTTGTTTCTACACATCATTTTGATATAGAGGAACCTTCCACCCCCCCCCCAAAAAACCCCCCCCAAATGGAAAAAAAGAGAAAAAAAAAAAGTTGTAACGCACCCTTGATGACGGGCATGATAGCGCGCTGCTGGATAGCAGAGGGGCGCTCGAAACCGTAGGCATAGACACCTCGGAGCAGCTCAGCGCGGAGGTTCATAGCATCGAAGGAATCGGTAACCTCATCATAGTTGGATTCGATTTGTCCTGTTTTCGGGAGCAAGGTTGTCAACGTTTTATTCTTCCGAAATTTAACCGGGTTTTGATGCTATCTGGTTGTTGGACACAGCATGGCCGCCACTGAAAAAGGCGAAATAGCAGAGCAGGAGGACCAAAAACAGCACAAAAAAACTCTTTGCAGCCGAAGAAAAAAAAAAAAAACAAAAAAAAACAAGGGAACCATACCTACTGGGATCTCCTCGAGACCCTTATCGGTGGAAGCCATGATTGCGAGTTGAGGGTTCTGAGATCACAGACCGAAGCTGTGATCGTGGTGGTGTAGAGGGGAAGAAAAAAAAAAAGGCGCTGGGTGGGAGAAAAAAAAAGGCCTAGCAATCCTTGCTGGAACCTGCCCTGGGAAAAGAAGAAGACTTTTCGTGTTGAAAGAATAAAGCGAAGAAAAACTAGAACCTATACTCTCCAAAGACGAGAGTAGAATAGGATCTAGGAGTTGACAACTCTGTGGGGGGTTATTATGGATGGGATATGTGTGGTTGGAGTGAGTGTTGTGGAGTGAAGAAGAAGAAGAAGAAGAAGAGAAGAGGAGGAGAAGCAGAGAGAAAGAAGGGAAAAAAAAAAAATTAAAAAAATTAGGTTTGGTTTGGTTTGACTTTTCGGGCTTGGGCTGATTCTTCTCATCCCATCAACTTTCTTTTTTCTTTCTTTTTTGTTGCAAATTTTCAGGCCTAGCGCGGAGATGGGAAAAAAAATTATAAAATAAAATAAAATAAAGTAAGTATAACTAATAAATAAATAGATAAATAAAAATAAAATAAAAATACATAAATGAATGATAATATAAGAAGAAGAATAGGAACAAGACTTTCTTTGCCCCTCTTGTTTAAAATAGTAGTAGTATGTTACTCTGCTTCTATCTTATTATTATTATTTAATGCTACTTTCACTGGTAACTATGCAACTCTCTCTATTCCTGCTTAATTCCTTTCACTGACAATCTACAGACCTTTTCTTTTTTTCTTCCTTTTCCTCCCTTTTTTTTCTATTTTCCTCCCTCCATTGACAGGTTTCCAAGGGCTAAAATAAAACAGCTTTCCCCCGCCAAGCAATTACCGCTTTCGGCTGGAATTGGGGTTTAGGGCTTGGTTCAAGGTCTTTGTCCAAAGTTCAAGATATCAAACACCCAACAACCAGATCCCAGATATCAGATCCATATCAGGTCCCAAGACAGCTGCATTTCGAGGCTGCGATTTGCAGTCCCACAGCGATCATGCATGTCACAGATCGTACGGTTCGCCGTTCAATGCCATTTGGCGACATGCCCGTGGACCTAGATAGCGATGTTGATGTCATACCATCGCATCCGCTGGGAATCAAGCCGTCAGGTAATGCATTGACAGCGACCCACAACATCCGTCATGCAATCGGCTCCCTGGCTGTGCTGTCGGACGAACTGATCATTCTGCTGCTGGAATGTCTGGACAGCACTTCTTTGTTGCGCCTGGGTGCGACGTGCAAGGCGCTGTATGCTTTCACACGGGCTGAGGAGCTGTGGAAGGCCCTGTTCATCGCGTAAGGAAACTTTTTTTTCTTTTTTCTTTCGTTAATTGCGTTACTTCTTCTTTTAACTCTGGTTTTTGCTTTCTATGTTTTTGTTGCGTGATGTGATGTTCTTTTGTGTTTGTGTTTGTGTGTTGGTTCTAGGTTGATCAAGGCCACACATCATTATTATATTATCTCCTGTATGGGGATAAGGGGGGCCTTGAACTTTGCATATACGGCTGAAGCGCGATATTAGAGGGATTGAGGGGTAGATGGAATTGTCAAATACATGCGCATGCGCATATATCAAGATGTACTATATCTGCATGTATACATTCTACATATCCAACTTTTATCACAGTGATAGCTAGACACCATACGTACCATATCATCTATATACTAACCCCTTCCATCGCAGGAACCCTCCCAAAAATTTCACATGGCGCGGCACCTGGCACGCAACATATCTCAACCTCCCCACCGCCAAAATCGCCTTGCCAGACTGCTCACATCTCTACTCCGACGTCCTCCACAGACCCTTTTACTGCGCCCACGTTTCCCTCTCAGCCTACACATCAAACATCCCCGCCCGCAACCAAATCCCGCGCCTGACAAACCTCACGCTGGCCGAATTCCAAGAATCCTGGACAAACAGGCCCTTCATCCTCACCGAGCCCGTCAAATCCTGGCCCGCCTACAGGGACTGGTCGATAGAGTACCTTCTCAAACGATATGCGAACACGACCTTCCGCGCAGAAGCCGTCGACTGGCCATTGGAGACTTACGTGGAGTACATGAAAAATAACACAGATGAGAGCCCCCTGTACCTCTTCGATCGTAGCTTTATGGAGAAGATGGGTTTACCTACAGCCAGCACGACCACCACGACCACCACGACCACCACCAACGGAACCAACGGAACCAACGGAAGAACCACCACCCACTCCCAACCCGAATCCCAACCCCCCGAACCCGCCTATACCCCCCCACCCCCTTTTTCCGAAGACCTCTTCTCCGCCCTCGGCCCCGACCGCCCCGATCACCGCTGGCTAATCATCGGCCCGCCCCGCAGCGGCAGCACCTTCCACAAAGACCCCAACGCCACCAGCGCCTGGAACGCCGTCCTGCGCGGCTCGAAGTACTGGATCATGTTCCCTAGCCACGCCGCTGGCACCAGTAGCAACAATTCAGGAGCAGGTGCGGGTTCGGGGGGTGCACTGCTACCATCGCCGCCCGGCGTCTACGTCTCCGCCGATCACAGCGAGGTTACGTCGCCGCTTAGCATTGCGGAGTGGTTTGTGGGGTTCCATGGGGCGGCGCGGCGGATGCAGGGGTGTGTGGAGGGGGTGTGTGCGGCGGGCGAGGTGTTGCATGTGCCGTCCGGGTGGTGGCATTTGGTTGTTAATCTGGAGGAAGAAGAAGAAGAAGAAGCGGGCGCTGCTGTGATAGCCATAACGCAAAACTTCGTCCCGCGGGGACATCTTGTGGAGGTTCTTCGGTTCCTGAGCGGGAAGAAGGAGCAGGTTTCTGGGTTTAGGCGTGGCGTTGAGGATCCGTTTGGGTTGTTTGTGGAGAGGTTGAGGGGCGTTGAGCCTGGACTGGTTGAGGAGGCGTTGAGGGAGATGGAGAGGGAGGCGGAAGGGAGGAAGAGGAAGTGGGATGAGATTGTGAAGGGGTCTGTGGATGGGGAGAGTGAGGCGGGTGAGGGTGGAGGTGGGTTTAGTTTTGGGTTTGGGGATGATGGGAGTGATATTGAGGTTCCGTGATTTTGGTGGTCGTACATATTATAGACCGGGTTATTATTTTGCATTGGCAGCTTAGATCAAACGAATGGGCATCATTTAAGGGAGGTGGGGAGGAGGGGTACGGATATAATTAGAATTGTATTATACAAAATTCGTTTAAAGCCGTATAAATGCCTTGATTGACAACCCTTAATAACAGGGATTACTGGGACTTGTGATATAACTTCCATAATAAGCAGCAAATAAGCAGCAAGTGAAGACCGACGATATACTATTAAAGCCCGTGCTTGATGTAATGATGAAGCCCTTACACACAGGCCACTCAGGAAGGTGTAGACAGGAACAGATACACATGTATATATCTACATATATACATCCTCCACGTAACGCATGTGCATTGACCGAGCCAAAAAAAAAAAAAAAAAACCCAAAGAGAGGGGGGAGGGATATGAATCCAGCAATAGGCAACGATCAATGACAAGATGCAGGCTTAGTCGCCTCGCCTCCAAAAGTTATGTATCCCAAAAACGCCCCGACAGCCACCGCCAGCATAATCCAGCCGTTGTATGTCATGAAAAGAAGCCTGCGTATTAAAAAAACAGACACATCAATCCTTTTGCCCTAAATCCACGCTCATCCCCTGCTGGAAAGGGGGCTCGACAAAAATTGGAGAACAGAATGTAATAAAGAACTCACATAATCATAAAACTATAAAAGACCTGCACAGCGTAGAGGGCCCCAAGAACCAGCTTGCCCCTCCGCCTCCTATCGGTCCGTGCTGTGAAGACTAGTGAGCCAGCTGGTTCACCGTTATTGGTGGCGTTGGAAAGGAGGGGGGCAGTGGAAGTGGGTAGCACGTTGTCATTGTCATTATTGTCATGGATGGCATCCGGCGTCTCGTCATCTTCATTGTTTCAGAAAGATATTTGGAGTCTCCAGGGGACGGGAATTTTGGTAGTTTTGTGAGTTGGGAAAACAGATATCTCTTAACGGATTCTGTCTTCCGCCATAGGGGAAGGTCCGCAGAGGAATGAAATGTATGTATCCGTTTCGCAGATACGTCAAAGGAAAAGTTAGGGGATTAAAAAACAAAGGTAAAACTAATAACATACCAAATGTGTATCCTCCGGCAGGAGGTATCGTCCCATCTTTCAACGCCAGTGCATGTCTTGCTTCATAACGGCGCGCCAACGCGCGAACACCCTCGTAGCCAGCGGTCAGAAGCGCAATGGCGACCAGTGAGAAGAGAAGAGACAAGGGTCCTGTTATGCGCCATTGTTTGAAAATTATACAAAGGTTGTGTGAGGAGAAGGTGAAGTGCATCTAGATCATGTTTTTGAGTTAAACAAGATGTTATAAATGGCATTTGAGTAGCATTTCCCCAGCAGTGAAAGCCACGTACGTTCATGCTACATTGGTCGCCCATATCCATATCCCCATGTCCATGGTCCATCCCGGCTTGATGCATTGAGTGGTCCATTTTTCCGGTAATCCGTGGTATGTATACTTTTTGTTGGTTGGTGCCTGGGGAGCGGGGAGAGGCGTTGGCCGGAAGTAGAGTATGCCTCGCTCGTAGACGGATGAACAGATCACATTCAAAGCGGGAACACTATCGTTTTATAACTCCTAGGCCCGGCATCTAGTATTCCTTGAGATAATTTAATGACGCCCGAAGAGAGACAGATGTGGGACAGACAGCTGTACAAAACCCATTATTCATCCTGCTTTTGTTGGAATGTTGTTGAGTCAGGGTGCAAACACGGCAAACAGTCGCTCCAACATCATGTGATTTATGCTGGGTAGAGAACTAGACTAATCTCTATTGGGGCTAGTGCACAAACGGGCTGCTCGCGACCTTACAGTAGATCATTGTCCAAATCGGGAAAGGGTCTCGGCTTCAACTTGGCCAAAGAAACGCGGCTCACTCGACTGACTCGCACTCCATCCACTCACTACTTTCTTTTGACACCCTTGACGCTATAAGGCACCCCTTTGCGAGCCCAACCCGTGGATTATCTATTAAAATTTACCATCCTCAGCTCGTCTGCACGTTTCCGACCGCTCATGACCGAAAATATCCCGCCCGCAACCGCTGCTGGCGGGAAGTCCACCCCAGCAGGTTCTGGGCCGGAACAAATACAGAATCGCGGGATCCCATATTACGAGAAGCTGAGACGCGAACTGAGAGAGACAATACAAAAAAAGCGGCTAATGGATAAGAATATGGTATGTAACCAGCACCTAACTTACTAACCACTCCTTTGCCTGCTACCTCTGATTCCCCTTACACTCCGCTTTCCCGTTAGGTAAACGACGGGTATTAACATTTTACAAGGGAAATAAGAAACTTGCTGACATCTACCTGATACTTTAAGGCTGCTCTAGAAGAATCCATATACCGCTTCGAGCAATCGTACCTCGAAGAAACCGGTGCCGGAAACATAATTAAAGGCTTCGACAATTACATAAAGGGCTCCTCTGGCGTATCTGGGTTAGGATTGGGGGGCAGTCTTGGATCGATGACTGGTTGTAGCGGCACAGGCGGCCCAGCCACCCGCAGAAAAACAGCGGTGCAAGATAGTGACCGGGTGTTCTCGAGGAGTTCGGCGAGTTTTATGCGGGTAAGTTATGATATCCCGTTGTGTCTACTACTACTAACAACTCCTTCATTACCCCCTCCCGATTTTTTTCGCTACATTTCCCCCAGACTAACCAAGATATGCATAAAAATAAATGACATACTAGGACTCCCCCGCCCCCTCCAGCGCAAACACAACCCCATCCCACGCCCCAACACCCACCTCCGCCTCCATGCCGGGCTTCAACAGAGATAACAGCAATACCAGCACTGTGAATAACAACAACAACAACAACAATAGCAACATGTCGGCTGCCAGCAGCGTGAAGGCGAGCACGAATAAGAAGAAGAAGGCATCCGCGGCTGCGAATACGAATACTAACGCAAAGGCCAGCGGCGGCAGCGCCAACGCCAACAATACAAGTACGGATGCGAATGCTGATGCGGGCTCGGGTGGGAGGGGAAGGGAAAGGGATGGCGACGATGATGCTGAGTCGGGGGGTAATAAGCAGCCGGTGAAGAGGCTGAAGATTACGTATGGGAGGGAGTGAAGGGGTTGATGCAGTACATTTTAGAGCATTCTCCCTACTTCCTATTTCGTGTCGTTGGTTCGTTCCGGGCTTCGTTATTGTCGGGAGTTTAATTTTCAGGGATGCCACTGGGACTGGCTTTGCGTGGGCTGGGCTGCGGGCTGGGCTGCGGGAGCAGGGGCGTTGGGATCATATATGTATGTGCCTTTTCCTGCAGGCTTCTTTTTATGGGCAATTTTGGGCGAACTGGTTAACTAGACTAGCGGGGCGGCGGGACAAAATATTTAAGCGAAGGGAGGTAATTGCGAAAGAAAGAATTTTCAAATCATCAAAGACGAAGGATCGATATTGCTTGATAGTAATAATACACGGGACTATTGGCATGCCTCCTAAAATGCCTTGAATGAAACTCTACACAATCATCGCGCCTGGCATTCTCCCGCCAACTCCTTCGCGTTCCGTTCGGAATCGCGGTTGTCCGGCGGTACCACCGGCGGCCGCATTTTGATATGACAGAAATGATACCGATCTATCTTCTCCATTTTGCACTCTCGTTTGTCTCATTCCCTCATGGCGCAATGACCATATATAGATACCTAGGTGACTCAATTGCCCTGCCTATTCCCCTCGAGTTTCCTTCTGCGCGTGTGCGGCTGTGCGTGTCTGCTTCAGCAGCTGATTTTTCAAGTACACCTATATCGGGGGTTGTCTCTCTACCACGCAAGCGTACGCTTCTGTTCCAATAAGACAGCAGCACATTCATTAGGTATATTTCCTTCAAGTCAAGGGCCTGCAACTATTTTGTGCATAGAGGTGCCAAGTAAAGAGACAGGAGCCGCAAATGGAACATCAAACATCAAACATAAAAAAAAGCAAGACAAGAAGAAGGACCCGGAAACCCCAATAAGATACAATCCAAGTCCCATTTCATCCTATTCATGAAAGCCAGTCGTACAATTAATTATCAAATGGACGGTTCACAACTACCAGGACCGCAATTAAGCATAACTTATCATTACCGCTGCTCTAGCCACCCCAGCAACCACAGCTTGCCCGCCCTCCCTTACAATTGCAACCGATACGTCGCAACCTCAAACGCCCTCAACTCAATATCCACCTCCGCCGCACCAGTCTTCTGCACCACTGCCAACTGCTCCAAATCGTCCTCGAGCACATTACACTTCCACACCTTCTTAACAGGCAACTTGGTCGTGATGGAGCCGCGGCTCTTCCCGCCGAGTGACTCATAGATGCGCAGGATAATGCTGCGCCCGGGACGCGGCTTGAAATCGCCGCGGGAGACATCTTCGTCATCCTCGCCACGCTTGATGGTGTCGAGGATTAGAGACGAAGAGCCCTTGAGAGAAAAGGCATCGAAAAGCTGGGAGGCCTCTGTGCCAGATGCTGGTTGAACGACTAATGGATTGTTGAAATTGTATCCTGCACGGACGGTACGGGCGTCCAACGGTCCTTTGTGCGGCATGATTGCGTAACGTATATGGTGTCGGCCCATGTCCGCGTTGGCATCGGGAGCTTTAGGGGCACGGAGCAGAGACAGGCGCATCAAGTTGCCGCATGTCGCGAATCCGTACTTGGAGTCATTGAGGATTGAGACGCCGTAGCCCGCCTCAGACAGATCAGCCCATTTGTGGCAGCACACTTCAAACTTGGCCATGTCCCAACTAGAGGAGGACTCCCATTAGTAACTGGATGGACTGCTACTTCTGGAGAAGGGGCAAACACATACCTGGTGTTATAGTGTGTTGGTCTTCTGGTTATTCCATATTGTGATTCATACGACGCTTCAGTGTTCACGATATCAACGGGAAATTCGACTTTCAGGAACTTCATGGTTTCTTGCCATTCGACTTCACTGGTCATCTCGACGAGAGGAGTCGAATCGCCAGTAGTGGCGGTCAGGCTAATTGTTGATTTCACCCAACTCTTGTCGCTAATTTTAGTTTCTGTTACAACACTAACACGATGAGGACTGTTCTCCGCGATTTTCGTTGTCTCAGACTTTAGTTCCTTCCGGGATTCGAGATGATAGACTTCAACATCCCAAGCTTGCCAGTAAAGAGGTTTGTCGTCGAAGATCACGAGTTGGTTAGCCTTCCCGCCCTTTGCGATAACCTCTCTTTTCTCCTCTAAATCAACGAGAGAGGTAATTACCCCATTAGACACCTCCAGGGACAATTTGGAGTTCGAGAGCCTGAAGACTCCTGGTTTCACCTCCTTCAGGGAAACAGATGGTGACCGGACCGACCCAAGGGGCTGAATAGCAATTACCCCCATACCGCCTTTAGCGAGTGCATACTGCGGTTTTCCCGAGGCAGTGCTCGCATCGTCAACTCGTACAATCTCTGAACGAGGCCAAGGAAGGCTGTTGATGGCCACAAGTCCACGGTCCGCTCTACTTTCTTGAGAGCTAAACCCAAGAACCTTCAACGCCTCTTTTCTTAACCTTGACCCCGTTGCAAATACCTTTGCATACTCTTTATCAGAGTCATCGTAACACATCTCAATCGAGCTTCCGGGAAGACAGTCGTGGAACTGGCAGAGCAGAACGCTCTCCCACATATCGTCAATGTCTTTCTTGGGGTATTTATAGTTGGGGTCTTTGAGGGTAGCTAGGGTGGCAAGCAACTCTACGTCACGCAGAACAAACTCCGATTTGCGATTGTACAATTTATTATTGGCCTGAGTCGTGTATGTTCCTCGGTGGAGCTCGAAGTAGAGCTCTCCGTACCAAGTGACAAACTCCGTTCCATTGGCAGCCTTTTCCTCAAGTTTTGCAAAGAAATCATCAACGGTGGAACCCATTGTAACACGGGGAAGTAGTTCGCCCTTATCACTCATACCTCGGAGTCTCCGCAGCTTCTCGAGATGTTCAAAAGTCGGTCCTCCGCCGCCATCACCCTTGCCAAACACAAGAAGAGAGGTGTTATCTTGATCCATCGATTTGTGCTGGGTGACACTTCGACGGACGTCTCCAAAGTGGGCACTGGCCGTGTACGTCTCTGCTGGAGTCATATGGCAAAGAACTTGGCTGCCATCCAAGGCAACCCAGTTGAAAGTCGTATGGGGGAAATTGTTGATGTTGTTCCAGCTAAGTTTTTGAGTGAAGAAGCGACTCATCCCAGCCAACCGACATAGTTGAGGAATCTGGGATGAGTATCCAAAGGTATCTGGCAGCCAAAAGGTGGTGCAGCGTTCGCCAAAATGGCTTTCAAAATATCGCTGGCCATAGACGAACTGGCGGACCAAGGACTCTCCGCTTGGCATGTTGGTATCATGCTCTACCCAGCTTCCACCAATGGGGATGAAGCTCCCCTTCTTCACACATGACTTGACACGGTCAAAGGCATAGGGATAGTCCTGCTCTAGCCATTTGAACTGCTGGGCCTGAGAACAGACAAAACGCAATTCGGGGTAGCGTTCCATCAAATCGCACTGGGTAGACCAGGACCTGGCCACTTTACGTCTTGTCTCCGCCCAGGGCCACAACCAACAAGAATCTATATGGCAATGGCCAATACCATAAACAATTGGCTGTTTATCAGTTTTATAGACGGCGTCAGAATCCACCAAGTTGCCCAGGTATTGCTGTGCAATTTGGCGGCCCTTAATAATCGATTCCTGGCTGCCATTGCCTTCGATAAAGGCATCCATTATGGCATTTGCAACTTGCTGGGCCTCGTGGGAGTGCCATGAATCCGAAGGGAATTCCCGTGCGGCGTCTTGAAAACTTCAAATCAGTAACAATTTCCTTCGCGGATTTGTAAATAAGTGCTAATGTATGCATACCTCCAATCATCCAGAAATCATAGTAGAGCGCCCTAGCTTGTAAGTTTACAGCTGTAATCCTCGCCACATTAAGTCGATAATATTTGTTTGGGTTGGGAGGTTGGATGGAGTCGCCGCCGGGGGCATTGCCAAACATTCCATTGCAGGCCATTTCAATATAGAAGATGTGCTCTTTTCCATCCCTGAAGCTGTCGGGCAAAATCCATTCAATTCTCTCACCACCACCTGTCAGGCCCTGCAATGGTTTCCCGTCTTCCGTCCAAACCATCCCCTCATTGTTTGCATCCCAGTGGAACTCAAGTCGCTCCTTTTTGCGCATATCCTCCGGTACCGTGAGTTGGATCTTGAACCAATGAGTTGACCAGCTGGGGCCAAAGGACTCTCCTCTTCTAGTAGGCCTGAATTGGTTGGAGGTGGCATCCTTGAAGCTAGGTCTGGCTAGGTCTGGCACCGAGTAAACGGAGAGCTTGACATGCTGCTCATCGTCGTTTGTGGCTTCATAGTATTTCCTACAGACCAGAAATGAATATACAAAAAAAAATCATTAATTACTGCAAGTTAATGAACATAGGCACACATGTCGTCCAGGGATTAAAGGGATCTATCTATATATCTAAACAAAGGGAGAGGGGGGATTGGGAAGGATCGTACGTACGCTACTAGGTTGTGTCCCGAGTACTGGCCTCCATCAGTGAATTGACGGAGACGGTCTCTATAGATATTCCTAATTTGCTGGCCAACAGGACGATTGGCAAAAGTAGGATAGGAAGAAGTGGATGGAGCCTTGCTGTTTCCGCCCATGGTTGGTTGGTTTAGCTGGTCCGTAGAGTATCTGATGAGGTGGTTGGCTGGGGTTGGTCCAGAGGGTGGATGGTCAGGGCCAATAAATAGGATAGAGGGTCTTTATAGGACGTGAGAGACAGTCCGCACTGCTGATAGGATCTAGGTGGGCAGCATTGAGATATAAGAGGACGAATATAAGAATACCATCTGTAGGTTGTCGAGCAAATGAAGGACGAGCGGTTGAGGGGAAGCTTGGGATGGATGAGCGGCGGGCTAGATGCGGCTCTGCGGGGTAGGAGTGGAAGTTGGTTGGTTGGTGCAACTCTCTGGGAAGTTGGAACCAGCCAACAGTCAGTTCCCGCCTGGGATAATGTAACTATTATTTATTGATGGGCATTTGGTTTTTTTTAAAAAAAAGAAGAGCTGTACAGAGTATTGAAAGTGATATGACAAGTCTGAAGAAAATATAAGTAATTATTGTATGTATGTATATCTACTTGCTGTAAGTTCTTTGAATTATTATTATTGAAGTCTTCATTGAATCATATTAAAAACAGCATACTGATTAATATAAATAGCTAATCCACCTTCATATGACCAACTAGTTAGAACTAAATATAGTCACCGTACTGTATGTAGTTACTCTGTACTCATCATCGAATATTCCAATGCAGTGTCAGCAACTTTCTGACAATCGGGGGGCTGACATCGGCGAAACAATAATCCGCCCAGAAACAAAGGGGAAGCATCCAAACATAACTGTCCTTTGAGGCTTTGGGTCATTGTGCTACCGCGGAGTGGCAAGGACATGCTCTTGACAGAGTATCAAATGGATGCGGGGTCCAGCTTGCAGCTAGTTGTATTTAGAGAAAACACTCAAATAGTGATATATCCCCAAGTTCTCATTTTTGGGGCGGGCTGAGGACGATGTCGTGGTAACTACATATCATTGTTTCTATCTTTATTCCGTCATGCGTCAAACTTCTACGTCGAGCCCGCGCTATTCAGCCTTGCCAAACGATGTAAGGGAGACTGAACTTCAGGATCTCTCTTGGCAGGGCCTCTACATAGACGATGAAGATGGAGAAGAAGAGGATGTGCAGTCGACCGGAGAAAACTCGCTAGAGGGGGACACGATAGTTTCGGATGGAGGAGATCTCGCCGAAGATAAATTCGCCCCATTCCCAGACATGCATCGTGATTCGAACCCGGTTTTCACGTTCCGTGCATTACTCATTGGATGTCTCTGCGGGGCGTTGGTGAACGCTTCCAATATCTACCTAGGTCTCAAAGCAGGCTGGACCACCTCGGCCAACATTTTCGGCGTGAGTAACTAACCTATTCACCAGTTCTTGCAAGTACACAAGTACTCAATTCAAGCCAATATATCTAAAGGGCCCCGTATTTATATTATCTAGTCAATTGTGGGCTTTGCCGTCCTGAAATCATGGACAAAGTACACTGGCGAGCACAACTTCGGGCCCCATGAGAACAACATTGTCCAAACCGCTGCCACGGCGGCGGGGGGTCTGTCTAATGTCTTCGTATCTGCTATTCCCGCGCTGTATCAGCTAGGACTTCTTTCCGTCCCAGCTAAAGATTTTTTTCGAATTACGACACTGACCGCTGTTGGGGGCTACTTTGGCCTCCTGTCCGTTGCGCCATGTACGTGTTAACTAATCCAACTTCTATGACTCTCCTTATTTGGCAATTAAGTCTCGTGGGACTTATTGTTGTTATTATTTTTCTCTAGTACGAAACTTCTTCCTGGTCCAGGTGGCCCGGGAGCTTAATCTTATCTTTCCATCCTCATCCGCTACTGCTATCACTATTCGTAGCATGCATCAAGCCGCTAGCGGTGCATCTATGGCCCAGCAGAAACTTGCTGCTTTGCTCTACGCTTTTATATTCGCAGTGATTCTGCGTGTTGCATCCCAGTATGCCATCGGGGTTCTGTGGGTAAGATCTGACAGTTTTTCTTAGTTTATTCATTCTTTCTGCTTTTAGGAAAGGTCTCGGCTCACTCACGATATCCTTCTAGGATTGGCATCCATTTACTTGGCTAGTTAATAGCGGAATTCTTGTCGAGTGGGCCATGTCTATGGAAAGCTGGGGTTGGATTGTTGAATGGACGCCTGCATTCATCGGCTCTGGAATGCTCGTGGGAATCAATGTTGCTGCTTCTTTTACTGCCGGCTCAGTTCTCGCGTGGTAAGTTAGCATTTAAAGAACGTGGAATCTCCTCCAAAATTACGTTACTAACCGAGAAATAGGGGTATCATTGGCCCGTATTTAGTCGGCCATGGAATGGCTTTTGGAGAACCGGCGTCCACGGATGCGAAATGGTCCGGCTTGATGTCCTATGCGTCCTTGTCGAAGGACTTTGCAACAGCTTCTCACCCAAGCCCTCGATATTGGTTATTATGGCCAGGTGTGGTTACGATGGCTGCAGTGGCGCTTGCTGGTGCGTATGAAGGCCACACAGCGAACATGGTATCTACAGTATTGTCCGCTAATTAGGGATGTTTCCGTAGAACTTGCGTGTCAATGGCGTGTGTTTTGGATTATTGCTCGAGATTCCACCCGAGCAATGGCAGACATCCTTTCCAGGCTGCGAGGAGATCACCATCAGTATACCCTAATGATGGAAAAAGACGAGGACATTGGTCCTTCAAAAGATAGTGTCAAAGTATGGATGTGGCTACCAGGCCTAATTGCCATTATCGCCATTGCCTGTCCCGCCCTGAAGTACCAGTTTGGCATGAAGGTTACGGAGTCACTGTTGGCTCTTTTCCTGGCATTCATATTGTCCCTCATGGCAATCCAGGCAACTGGAGCAACTGGTGAGTTCAATGGGCTCCTTAATGACACGGAAAATTACTAGACAGAAGCCTAACATACATCTACAATAGACACCACGCCTCTTGGTATTCTTTCCAAAGTGTCTCAAGTTACCTTGAGCAGCACAACGCGGGATCAAACCATACAGAACTCACAACGCCTGAATCTCTTAGGTGGTGCTCTAACAAATATTGGCGGGAGCCAAGCTTGCGGTATGTTCAGACATAACATGCCCGTCTATTTCTTTTGTAAATGTTCAACCACTGAACAATTCCTACAGATCTCATGGGCGACTTCCGAGTCGGATACCTCCTAGGCACATCGCCCAAACTCCAGTACGCAACACAACTAATAGGTACCCTCTTCGCGACCTTCTTCGCACCATCCATATTCCTCATGTTCGCAACCGCCTACCCATGCATCCTATCCACAGAGAACAACCTCGCAACCTCCCCCTCCTCAACCAGCAATTCAACCACCCCCTCTAACTCCTGCGAATTCTCCTCCCCCTCCGTCGCCGCCTGGCGCGCCGTAGCCGTAGCCGCCACAGAACCCATCCTACCCATCCCCCGCACCTCCCTCATCTTCTCCATCATAATGGCCACCATCGGCGTCCTGATGGTAATCATCCGACACGGCCTGTGGGTGGGGAAATGGGAGCGAATGCGCGTGTACCACCCCAACGTCATGATCCTAGCCATGGCGTTCACGCTGCCGTCGCCGCAGTATGGGATTGCCATGCTGATCGGGGCGCTGGTGGCGGCTGCTTGGCAATTGAAGGCGCCAGTGGGTTTTGAGGCCTTTGGGTACGCGGTTGCGGCGGGGTTTATGGCTGGTGAAGGGATTGGGGGCACGATCAATGCGATGCTTTCGGTGTTAGGGCTTGGAGGGGAGGGGTTGGGGACGAGGGTTGGGTGTCCTGCTGGGAGGTGTTGATAGTATTTTTTTCTTTTCCCCGCCGATTGGGTCAAGCCAATCAATACTTTAGAAATAGAATAGAATGGACGTTACGAAGTCATGCTTTCTGCTTGTGTGGTGGCTTAAACTACTGGGTAATATATATATATGGCTCTCACTAAAAAGTGCTTGGTTTGAAAATATGCAAGTTATCTAAATCTCGTAAAGAAAAGTACATACATACATATTTGGTATACAGGAGGGTTGACCGTGGCTAAGGGCTACTCGTTACCTATCAACACCAGCTGTGATCGCATCTGATTGGATTAACAGAAAATGGAACAAAAAAAGAACTTCTAATATAAACAACCGTGATGATACCGTCCCATCACTAACCAATGGCATCAACATCTACGTCCACGTCGTGCTCTGGCATGCCCACGGCCAATCCCTGTTCCTCGCCTTCTTTGAATATAGGCCCTGTCACCCAGCATAACGGTTAGTTAATACATATCTCTTTGAAACAAGCAGCCACTGAAAGGAGGATAAAAACTGTGACGCAGAAATGTTGTATTGGGGAAACAGAGAATGCAGCAGAAAAGGCGGTCACGAACCTAAAGTGGGATTTACAATATATCCCGGAGTCGTCATATTGAAGGACCTGGAGCTTGCCCATTCGGTTATGTGGTTCCAGTCTGCGCATTGATGGGTCGTTGCGGTAGCCTTTGGTTTCAGGGTGCCCTGCTTCCAGTTGTACGTGATGATGCCCACGTCGCTGTGGCACATGGCCGTTTTGCGTAAATAATTTAGGCAATGGTCTGGGGAAAAGGTTGTGATAACGCGTTGGTGTATTAGCTGTTTCTGCCACGTTTTTCTTTTTCAATTGGCATATTTCCTTTTTTGGCACTTGGATACTCACGAGAATGCAGTTTCATAATCGCTTGTTCATGGGGAGTGGCACCCTCGAAATAGTGATCTTTATGAACGTATTTGTAGAGCCACCACTAACGTCACTTCCTCAGTAAACCACTCGTTGTCGTCGCCACTTTTATGCTTCGGGGTGTAGCATATGGGTAGAAGACTTACAATGCAGTGGAGTTCGTGAAAGACATTGAGCGTCCCAGCAAACCCAGAACCATCTGGCAATTCCACAGCATCCTCGAGCCGCCCTACTGAGACTAGATCGTGCTTTGATAACCTGACATTCATAACTTTGATAATGTTATTATTCCTCAGGTTCGATACTGGGCCGGGAGAACCCACTATCAAAAATATCCCTCCAAGCTCTCTCAAGCACAGGTCGTGGTTCACCCACATAATCTCCATGGGCACCATCATCATGTTCCCATTCAACTACGTTCCATTTCAATGCCTCGTTTGCGGGCGCTAGCATCAAAATTAGCAGATGAAGACAAATATCAAGGAATTTAGACGTGGAATCCGTTTAGATACTAACAGTATATTAAGCTACTTTGCAGTTTTCTCTGTAGCTTTATATTATTCTCAAAAACGATTGCACTGAAGGCGGCAAGGAAGAAAAAAGCTGTACCAGTTGCAAGGACAGTTTTAATATGTTCCCGCCAAAATGGTAGGGTGTTTTCATGATAGCGGGCTAGGGGCTTCTCGAGCAATGTATCCGTTGTGTCTGCACTCTCTGTGGAAGAAGGCAATGATGAATCGTCGTTCGAATGTTTCTGTTCCCTACACTCCATTGTTATTTAAAGGACAAAAAGGGCTCGTGGTAGAGAAATTTTCTCGGGCAAGAGAAATTAAGAATTAAGGGGTAGAAGAGGACCAAGGAAACATTGGACGGAACATCGAAGCGTGTGACTATTAGGAGTTTCGGACATGAGTCTAACTTGACTTGCTTCCGCTGGATGACAGTCTTTTCTATTGGCATCTCTTTCAAGTGAGCTTTGTGGTGCTCTGACCAAGAGACAAAACCCACAGGGCAATTGCTTTTGACAAGGTGTTGACGGCCCTCTCGCTGAGGGCCTTCAAGTGGTTACGCATAGCAGCAGCCTTTGACCAGTCAAATAATACGATTTCTATGACAGTCATTTTGAGGAACGTTAAAAGGACAGGAGTGGTGCGTAAATATCACAGCTGGGGATGTCATTGATAGTTATGCACGGTCAAGAAAGTTTTCCAAGGATGTGTCACACCTCATGACTGCATCATTCAGCTGGAAACTCCATTGCATTAGGCCTGATATTTCCAATGTTGACCGAATCGAGGTGACCAACACCCTGTGGTATGACATACCTGTACTCAGTTACCAAAATCACAGAATGCGCATCCGACAACTCTGCTGCATAAATATATGTTAACCTGGCCTTGAAATCCACAACACGAATATAGTTCAATATTAGTTTTCTCTACCCAAGATCTGCAACTTGAAATTCCATTCGAATCTTGAACAGTGTCGGTTTCTAGAGGAGTCAACAGGCAAAAAACAAAATGCAGCTCCAGAATATTTTGCCGATTGCGGCTCTTCTTGTGACTATAGTCGCTGGAGCACCATCTTCCCCAGGTGAGATCTATATCTCAATGGCCACTGCACCTCCACAGAGGAGTAACAACTTCAAAAACATAGACACCCGTTCGGAAGCTAATTTGCCGGTCCTGAACATGGTAGACAAGCGCTCTGACGCCGATGCTGCCACTATGTACGTGGTTGACAAGCGCTCTGACGCCGATGCTGCCACCATGTATGTGGTTGACAAGCGCTCTGACGCCGATGCCGCCACTATGTATGTGGTCGACAAGCGCTCTGATGCCGATGCTGCCACTATGTACGTGGTTGACAAGCGTTCTGACGCCGATGCTGCCACCATGTATGTGGTTGACAAGCGCTCCGACGCCGATGCTGCCACCATGTATGTGGTTGACAAGCGCTCCGACGCCGATGCTGCCACCATGTATGTGGTTGACAAGCGCTCCGACGCCGATGCTGCCACCATGTACGTGGTTGACTAGGTAAGTGCAATCAAAAGTGCAAATCTTCGTCCAGTATGTCTAATTATCGAAAGATCCTGAAGAAGGGCAATCACTGCCGTATCGCCGCCATCCCTTCGGGGACGGTATCAGCTCTCCGGAGAGAAGAATTTGGGTAGGGGAATTGGAGGAAGAGGCACGGGACCGATCAACAGCGATATGGCAGCCCTCTTTGTTTCTTTTCTTTACATAAGAATCGCAGGATGTTATTTCTTTCCGGGGTTTTCAAATAAGTGTTGCAGCTATGGGATATTATATTGTTGAGTTGTTGATATAGTTTTGGGATAGTTAGAGGAGACTGGAAGTTTTCGGACCTAAATCACTCATTCATTATCAAGTTCTATTCGGTTTTTCATTGAAAACGCTTTATGTAGAACAAATGAATTCAACAACGCCTCACGTTAGTAGCATGCACTGCGCGCATCACATCACGCTGGCTAGACGCACTCGGGCAATAATCAACAGTTTGTTAGCACTAGTTCAAATGCCATCCTTAGCATGCATATTAAGATAAGCAGTCAAATACAATAGAAGTGGCTAAAAACTCATAGAAAAAATGAGGATAATAAGATATCATCAGTACGGAGTACGGAGTACAGAGTAACTAAAAGAGACGAGCGAAGAGGAGGTTGAAATCCGCCAACATATTAAATTATGCTGACTAATACGCGATCCTTGAACCCCCCTTGAATGGAACTCAAGATCGAATTATTCTACACATTACCAGAACCACCACCGGATATACCACGGCCGAGTCTCTCTCGATTTTCTCTTCAACGCTATCTCCCTGAACTTTGGAAACAATGGTGTACCCCATCCGGAGGCTGCATCCCACCCTTGCAGAGCTGGAAAGCCTGTTGTATTGCAGCCTCCATTTGTACCTTGAGTGACATCCTGAAATGCTTTGAATCCCTCCATGTATAGCCATGGGTTTAAAAATCCCAGTGGTGGCTTTTTCTCCGCTGCCAATGCATCATTGACCAAAGCTACAATGGCAGCGAATGTTGGAGCAGAAGCTGATGTGCCATCAATGAGTTTTGTCTCTCCGTTCCAAATCGTCACAAAGCGATACCCCTGCGCGGAAACATCGGGGATTGCACGTCCATATGGATTGAACATGCCAGAATGGAGGTTGTTAATCTTTGAAAGATACCGAGCAATGCTATTGGGGTTATTGGCTTGGTAATCCGGACGCGGAAAGTAATTACTGAAGCCTCCGCCTGATGAGAATCCATTACGGCTGTTCACTGCAACAACTTCTGGCTGGATGCCTTTTGTAGCACCGACAGATGTGACCCACGGACAGGAATCTGGAAAGCTTACAAGGAACTCGGGAGTAGTGAGGCCGTCATTCGAATAACAGTGACCCGGATGACCAACACCATAATCTCCTGAACCCATTATAACAGATACCCCGCGTGCACCCAGCTGGGCAAAACCGTTGCACACTCGTCGAGCATATGAAATTGGAACAGTATGTTCGATGTCCCCATACGAAGTGGAAACCACGCTGGGAAGTTCCGAATCAGGCTGGTCAAGAATCCAGTTCAGCCATACCAAGAACGGCTCGTTAGTGTTGGTGGGAGTGAATGAGTCCGGGATAAACGGTGGCTCGGATTTACCAACTGAATATATAGTAAGAGGGATTGGGTGGGCAATGCCGAGCATAACTTCAGCGTCAAGATTGCCTTCCCTCCCAGCGCCGCGGGCGTATTGCTCTGGCGTTACAAGACTCTGCTGGTTGATCCCACCATTTATGCTGATGTCTTCGAAGCTCTCTGCGCCAGAAACAGCGTCTGGTCTATATATTTTGAGAAAATGAGAAACATCTGATCTGTTGTTGAACTCTCCCAAATAATTGACCAGCGCCATTTTTGTCCCTCGTTGAGAGTCCGCCCTGTAGTACAGGGTGCCATACAGCGTACGAAGGCAAAGGGACGTTACAGCGCTGGCGTTACATGCTTGTTGAGGGGTCAAATCCGGTGGGATATTATTCAAGTCGACATCCGTTCCGATACCCAATGCGGCGTCCTCTGCTTGTTGGTTAATGTTCGTGATCTCGTGGTCTTCATTCTGACGTGCTTTGACTTGGCCTGGGATGCGCATTAAGGAGGTTGTTGGTTGAATGGTGTCGATCGCGTCGTGTAGGTATTGGGGTACTGACCACTCCATTGCCCGAGCGGCTGTTTGATGCCCGTATCTGTATATATGATATTTGGTATCAAGAAGGCGCTCCGCTTCCGCAATAGATACAGTCACCGCAAGCCAGTCTCCGGCCGCGTTAAAATTGTGACGACCAGTCGAAATACCATGCTCTTCAAGCCACGCTTGCGTACGGTCTACGGCATCTCGATGCGGTCGAAGTAGCCTGGCTACTTCAAATCTAGTCAGAAACTGACCGTATCTCTTGTGGCGCGGGTTGGAAACTAGAGAAATGTTAGCAAATCTATACCAGAAAAGTTAAAGATACCAGACGCCTGACCTTCTTGAAGCCTATTTTCCAGCTCAGCTAAACGACCTTGCACAAGACCTATTTGAAGCGAGATATTCATAGACGGAGGTGCTGTGCCTTCGCGAATCCATTTGGACGGTGCTGGATGAGATTCCTTCAAAGAATAGGAAGCGGGACTGGTTGTTGAAGAGTTTACTGCCGAAATTCCCACCCCAAAGATCAAATATAGCCAACGTAAGTGCATTTTGTTTAGGTAGAAGTATGGCCATCCACCCCGATTCCTTCCCAGCTGCCAGCCGATAAAGGAATGCAGCCACCATTTCTTTCCAGTCTTGTTCAAACTCCGTGTCCCATGCTAAGAGCAAGAAGCTCAAAATGGACCTGCTGCCAGGACAGTAAACCTGGTTCAATGTCACTGTCGTATAATGTCTTTGTGGCATGATTTCTGTGATGACATTGCAGCTGTTGATGACAGGGCTGAGGTCATGACCGAGGGTCATCAACAAGGTGACAAAATATCTCTATTCCTACACTCTTGGCAAGATTGTCACCCTTACTAATGAATTCGCAGTGGTATCCATCTCTCTGTCCGAACCTCTGAAAATTTGCTTTGTTGAAAGTGATCTTTTGATTATCAGCATCCCCAATTATGCTCACTATTCCACCTCTCCTACACATCCTCTGAACAAGGGGGAGTCTCCTGAACATTGACATAGCTTTCATTTTGTCTTATTATGATGGCGTTTTTTGCCAGAGGTCGACTGTCTCAGTGGTACAAAAGTAGAAACCAATACGCTTACAAAGTCCCTGAAACTCCTGGTTCTTCTCCGAGAAGCCCATCAGAAGAAAAGGGATCAGAAGATGGACTTCTCGAAGAAATACAGTATCATACGTTTGCTGCACGACGATCTGTGTGGAAAAATGGTCGCTTCCTCATTATTTTTCACATCTTGCTCTTTACTCTGTATATTGCGAGTTTGATGGCCGTGTGGGAAAGGAATAATACAAATCAGTTCCGAGCAGCTGGAATGCCCTTTTGTAAGTGTCTGCTCCGCTTCTCCTCTTACTAAACTTATCGACTTCCACCTTCTTCCTTATCAAATTGGTTAAAGGGCTAATTGTTCGGAAGCCCCGGCAGCGAAGATGGTAGAATGGAGAGACACTAGATTTAGCCTGGAGGATCGGATCACGGAAAAAGGGTCTTTCTCGGGGAAACCGAGCGCGGAATTAGACAAAGCGTGGCATGATTTGCTTGATGGTAAGGCCCCTATACTTGGCGAGAATACTTATTTCAAGGTGAAATCATATAAAGGCATCAGTAACTGACTATCTTACGTAGATGAAAACATTATGGTGGAACCGGAATACATCAAGCACTATGATCGAGAGGATATCACGGTCCGCATCCCTGAGGGTGATGGCTACATCGGCACCCTAAATGTGTATCATGAACTCCACTGCCTGAAACGTATCCACCAGTATATGTACCCTGACTACTACTTCGCGGGTTTGTCTGCAAGCGATATTGAAATGAACAGGCTCCATAATGGTAAGTTCTCCTGATCGCATAGTTCACTTTTGCGCACTGCAGATTCAAACGTTTTTTTTTTTTTTTTTTTTTTTTTTGTTTTCTCAAATATTCTTTAGAACATTGTATCGACTTCCTCCGCCAATCTGCCATGTGCCATGGCGATATTGGATTGATCACGTTCGAATGGCGTGACAGCAGCCGCATCCCGGTTGCCAATGCTACATCCCATCAATGCGTTAATTGGCAGAAGTTGGATCAGTGGACGAAAGCTAGATCTGTTGATATGATGAAGCCGGGTTGGCTCGTTCATCCTACTCTTGGTAAGCTAAATTGGATATTTGTAGCCTTTTTAAAGATCCGGAGTACCAAGTACTAATACTCACATTCTTTCTAGGTGTGGCATATCCAACCGGTGAAGGTGACAGAATTGGTGCACTTAGTGAGCATAATTAACTGATCAACTACAAGGGAGAAAGCGAAGCAAAACCCTGGCAAATATGTCTTACTTTGGCGAGCCCTGTGGTGAAATCCACATATTTCTTCTGTTGCTTAAACGTTGATATAGCTATGTTCCCTAAGTATTCACATGAAGAGCGACGGTAACGACACCTTTTTCTAGTATTTCTCAATAGGTTGACACAAGAGTTCTTTCAGCACGCCAAGTATTGACAGCCGCTTTGAAGAAAGCAATAGAGGTACCAATTAAAAGCTCTTAACCTAAATCCGATACTAATTGACTATCGTCGTCCTATTTATACGGTGCACCCACCAAAGCCTTCTGAGCATTTTGTCATGGGTTTCAGTGCCACAGTTTAGAACCACTTGAGTCCATTCATTCTGCTTCTGTAGTCTAAGAACTGCCACTAAGATTCCCCTTGCACGATGGGGGATATCAGGTTGAGCGCCATCAGGTGCTTGTCCATTCTCATACAAATCTGCGTTGCAATATCTCCTTTGGGAGCAGCGATGATGGCTCAACCCAAGTCTTAACCGGAATAAAAAATAAAAAATATATAAAATATACTCTCCCCAATTCCGGATTTTTTTTTTTTTTTTTCGCAGAGTCCACGGACAAGCCTTTTTTCACAACACGGTATCGAGACTTTTTGCCGGAACGGCATGAGTTGCGTAAAATACATTTCTATCGCCGGAAATCTGAGCCACACCAAGACGGAACCGCCCCTACTCCCAATCATGGCTGAATCTCCCAGACAGGCACATATATCCCTGAGAGCCTTTAGGAAAGACACGATCAAGAATGGGTCAAATATTTCTTCAATGAAATGAAGGATTGACTGCAGCGGAGTCTAGACTCAAGTTGCAGTGCAGTCGTTTGAGTGATGGTACATGCTGAGAAGTCAGGGGTAGAGGACTAATAGATACAGTACTTAGTACTCCGAATAGACGGGAAGTAGTGATTGTGATTATTTCTAGGGTCTCAGGCTTGTGACTATATGTCATCGCTCAATCGATGGCACTTTCGGCTACCAATCTTCCGGTTGTCATGTAACCATTTTCCATTCAGGTTCCACGTTTAACAGTAAACGGCTGGAAATGGGGCATAACTTGAACACAATATTATATCTGAGCTCATGGCACTTATGGCTCATGCTAGGCATATTTCTTTGCTTGGAGATTATCCTCATCCTTTTCGTTTCGCTATATCTTCCCGCTCCCCCGTAGCTTAATGGCTTCAGGCATCCTCCAGCACCACTTAACTACGGCATTGGCTTGCCCTTTGCGCGTAATTTCGCACCAAACTTCCACAGAATAAACGGGGACGGAATTCCCAGGCCCAGAAAAATGAAAGCCAATACACTATGACCCCAGCCGTACCCCAGCCGAGCGAAAAGCGCTGGCGCGAACAATGGAAACGCAAATGCAAAAATGCTTCGTAGAAACTGGCTGGCCGCTGAAGCCGATGCCACATAACCCCGATATGCCTCCATGACGTACTGCTGTTGTGAGTGTGTACTCATGATAACCCCGAAGTTGAACATTGCAATAGCGACGTCGACTACAATCCATTTCTGCTTCGTTTCTGCCGTCCACCCATACCAGAACAAGCTGATAGGGATGACAATAGAGCCGGGAATCATCAGGGGAATCCGGTACTCCGGCGCCGTTTCGCCCCCTGCTCGTTTTTTCAGATATGCCCACAGGCGATCAGTGAGAGCTGCCCCAAGTTGGGCACCAATAGTTGAGCCGATGACGAGAGCAATATAATGCAACCCGGAGGCAGAAACAGACTGGTGGTATTGGGTTATCCAGATAGAGGCAAAGCTGGTCAGGACAAAGTAAAGAGTGCCAAAATTGTAAGCAAGGAAAAGGCTCACAAGTTGGATGATTGGCTGGGTGGCCAACATCCATACTGGCCTTGCCACACTACGCTTCAGTTTCTGGGTGAGCGGTTGGTTGTGGATGTCCCATCGGGTATGATATTCTCTCCCAGTTTCCTTGCGTAATTTCATCGCCTTTCGGTGAAGAAGGAGCTGCTCATAACATTCCGGAAAAATCCAGAACGCAGCAACTGTGAGGATTGCATCAAATATGGATAAAACCCAGAACAACCATCGCCAACCGACTGAGTTAGTGATCACGCCCCCCAAAATTGGACCTATGGCGGGTCCAAGAAGAGGGATAAATGTTGCTATGGCAAAGGACCTTCCCCGCTCCTCTGGTCTCCAAGTATCACCTAAAACCGGATTCGTGACCTTGCAACATTATAAGCAGTGAAGTAGTCCAAAAGGAAGATGGGGAATTAGTTTACTCACAGCAAACTCTGCACTCGCTCCCAATCCTGCCAGAAGCCTTGCGGACAACATCAAACCCTGGGAGTTTGCAAATCCACAGACACCGTTCCATAGGACATACCATGTTGAACAAAGGATCCATACCTTGCGGCGGCCAAATATTTCTGTCATAGGAGCTAAGACCATGGGGCCAAAGGCAAATGCCAGCACAAAAATGGATAGACACATGTTCGTTGTGCCAGGGCTGGTATTGAGATCCTTTGCGATGGCATCTAGGGCCGGAGCGAGCATCGCACCACTCATCAGTGTAACAAGACCCCCAAGGGACGTTAATAAAGCAACCGCCCATTTCCTGAACCGGCTCCAATTGAGTGGATTTTTCGGATCATCAGGGCCATCCCAGTCTACCTAATACAGGCAGCTCAGATTAGCAATGTAGTGAGGAGATATTCGATCGAATCTGTCAATGGGCAGCTCCAGATACAAAGCATAGGCGCGGAAATCGAAAAAATAAAAAATAAAAAAATAAAGAAAAGAAAACCAGTGGCTATTACCAGCAGTTCATCTTGGTCCCATTGGGAATTTGTCTGATTCTCCTCGGCCTCTTTATCTTCACTTCTAGACTCCTGTACTGCAGTCACCGATTTCTCGACGTCGCCCTTCGGGGGATTTGAGGGGGCCATTTTTTTTAATTTTTTTAATTTTTTTTTTTTCGAAAGAACTTGGTTGGGTGAGGTGAGGTGAGCTGTTAACAGGCGGAAAAGTTTGTCATATATCATCTGGTTGATAAAGGCAGCAACATTCGCAGCATTCATGTTCAACAATGAGCATCATAGTAGCCCGCTGCAGAGCGCTGAACAAATTGTGTAACCGGCATGGACTACTGACGTTTTGTAAGCATTGTGTCTGCTGGCTCCCGCTTATAGTTAATTCCTGTAATTCAGTGGGTTGTTGACCTAGAAATTGCTGATATTATAAACTTCCTGAATCGCACACCACAACGCAGTTAATATTCATTTCAAACACCTTGGGCTGCGTGGTTGCAATGTACTGTACAGGCTCATGCAGAAGTAAGCTTTGCTCATTGAGAGATTGGTTCCAAGGTTCAGCTCTACAAGGCTGAAAATTCGGCGCTTATTCTTTAGCAGAGTAGTTAGTAGCGTAAGTTAGACTTTCTGACTGGATGCCACGAACTATA